GGGGGGAACTGGGGTTCGAACTCGGGTCCTTGTGCTTGCGCAGCAGGCGGCGGAACCACTGAGCTAAATCCCTGGCCCCATTTGTGCTTTTTCATCTCAGAAGTGCCTGTTCATTTCAGCTCCCCGGTTTTGGACTGGGTCTTTAAATTTGGGGGGGGGGCTCTGTTTTTTTAATTTCTTTATGTATTCTAGATATTAGTCCTTTGAAGAACATCTGGCAAATTTTTTGCTCAACTCTGTGGGTTGTCTCTTCACTCTGTTGGTAATAGGTTTTACTGTGCAAAACTTGTTCAAATGATGAGATCCCAGTTGTTGATTGTTTTTAATATTTCCTGTGTAATCAGGATTTTGTTCATAAAGTCTTTGGCTAAGCCTATGTTCTTGAGAGTTCTCCTTATTCTATCACTGAGAGAGAAATTATGGGAACCACACCTTTCACAATAACATACAAAATTGAAATACTTAGGAATCAATCTAACAAAAGAAGGAAAAGACTTTTACATTGAAAACTACAGTACTCTGAAAAAGGAGATCAAAAGGGATACCAGAAAATGTGAAAGACATCCTTTGCTCTTGGGTAGGAAAAAACAATATAGTGAAAATGACCATACTCCCAAAATTATTATACAGATGTAATGCAATCCCGATCAAAATACCAATAGCATATCTTACACAATTAGTGAAAACAATCCTAAAATTTATTTAGAACCAGAAGAGACCTAGAGAAGCAAAGCAATTTTGCACAACAAAGGCAAGGCAGGGGGCATTACAATCTCTGACTTGAAATTATATTACAAAGCTATAGTGATAAAAACAACGTGATACTGGCAAAAAAAAAAAAAAAAAAACAAAACCAAAAGAAAACAACAGCAAAAAAAACAGAACAGAAGATCAGTGGAACAGATTAAAAGAGGCAGAAACAGCTCCAAACACACTCAGCCACCTCATCTTCAACAAAGGAGTCAAAGACCTTCACTGGAAGAAAGATAGAAGGTGCAGAGAAAACTGGCTTTCCACATGCCAAAGATTTAAACTCGACCCATATTTCTCGCTATGCAATGAACTAAAATGGAAATGGATCAAAGATCTAAATATTAAAACAGAAACACTAAATATGTTGGAAGATAGAATATGTAGAAACCTCTTAGACTTTTCACTGAAAAATCATGTGAACCCTTAAAGAGAATCAAAACACCTGTTTGGGGCCTAGTTTATGATTCTTTAAGAAGGACTTAAAATCCTAGTTGATTTTTATTAATATTAACTAATATTCTAGTTGAACTGTTATTTTATATTTTTTAAAAGTATGATTGGTTTTTTAAATTTATTTCTTAGCATAATTTCTAATTCCATCAGCTGTTATTTTCCCTCTTACAGCAATAGCATTTTTTTTCATTTTTTCACTGATTAGTGATTTTCAAACCTATATTTTAGCTGAGAATATAAGTACATTTTACCAGAAGTTAATGGCAATTAGACAACAGGCTTAGTGGAAGATGAGAAGTAGGGCAAGTCAACATACTCTTGGGATCTTGTCTATTTTCTTTGGTTTAATTTAAATTAGAATTTATGTCTCAAAGAGAATGGAACCCAGAATGATAAAGAGTCATGTGTGTTATCCCAAGATAATGGGAAAATTGGAAGGAAGTGAAGTCTTATGCATTGTCTTATGATATGTAATCCCAAAATAATGTGTTAAGAGGCTTTTGCATAACCTTAAGTTTAATCATGTTATAACAATTTTGAGTATTTGCTGTTCACTTTATTTTATAGGCAAGTCAAACATGGAGAACTGGATAGATCGTCTGCTTGTTAATTTGACATATGGTTTCTTGTTAACTTACATGGTATGATTTTCACAATTTTGTGTATGTGAAGTGACTTCTTGTCCTTGGAACATATTTTATATTTTTCTTTCCAAGGGAATTATTTCTAAAGTTGATGTTTTCAGGCTAAACGTTCACTCTATAATAGAAAGTTGTTTGTACTGCTATAAAACTCATGCTCTTAATGTTTTATAATAAAATATTCCCCTTTGATTGACATGTTAATTTTTTTAAAATATGCTATAAGATGTTTTAAATATAATTTCATACAAATATTTGAAGTGGACCTAATGTGAGACACTGTAGTGTGTAGTAGGGAAACAAAGTTAAATGTGCTACAGTAATTTTCAAGGTATTCACTGTTTGATGTTGAAATAATTACACTGTAATTATAATAATTGCAATAATGTGAGCATGTTAAAATTAACACAAATGATATATATGATGGAT